CCTGCCAAGCTAGACCATGACGCGTTGGCATCTGTTTTGTATTCAGAATTATCTTTCTGCTTTCCCAACACTAAAGAGTCTGAACTGCCCAGCAATTTTCCCATAGCTGAGGCTTGAGGAGAAAAATCAAGTCTTTTCCAGGTGTATTATATGATAAACGTAACTATACTACTAAATCTATAGCCTAATGATTAAAACAAGCATTTATTTTACACAGCAAATATTTATCTTCCAACATCATTTCCTTGACTCTCAATGACAGACTTAATTCAGTGATGAATATTTATAACATAGATTAAAAATCTCAGATCAAAAAAAAGATCAAAATTTAGGTTTTACTACGTGTCAAGCTACGGACATATATATATATATATATATATATATATATATATATATATATATATATATATATATATATATATATGTGTGTGTGTGGGGAGAGAGAGAGAGAGAGAGAATGAGAAGAAAAGAGAGATGTGGTAGCGTTAACTGTATCAGATCCATGTGTGACCTTCATGGTTTGAGAACCAGGTCAGATTAACTATTTAATCGGATTATCAGATGCCATAAGTCAAGCGGGTTACTAGGTTAGATTAGATCTGAACCACTTATTATACACCTACCGTATCTTTAAAAGTATAATAAATTGGTGGAAACACAGGAAATTCATAAATGTGGATAAAATCCTTTTATTATATTTGATCAAACTTGTACTTGTATTAGTAATATATATTTAAAAGAAATCGTTGACACAGCTGACAGCCGCAATTAAGTGTGTATGTGGTGCGTGAGTGTGGTGTGTGTGCGTCTGTCTGTCTTTGTATGTGTGTGTGAGTATTTTCTTCACGCTTATCAAAAACATTAACACGACTTTAATACTAGATGAATAATTTAGCACGTACACACACACATAAACACACATTTATTCAGATATATAAAGTCTATTTTAAATTTCTGCAGTGTTCGGATTCTGTACAAAAGAAAAACAAAAAAAAGAAAAAAGTTGTATACTGCAAAATCCTGATCACCCTTGAAAAGTATTGATTTTTCTGTACTCCAAAACGCTGTTCTATAATTAATGAGGTGAATTGTGAAAACAAAGTCAATATATTTTGGTGTAGGGTAGGAATATGTGTACTAATATGTATACTAATATATTTCAAATAATGAATGTTCTCCCGTAACAATGTAAGCATGTTGTGGGCAGGCTCGAATAACATTAATATACAGATATACATATATTCATTTATAAGAATACAGTCACTTGTGGTATACCATAACATACGTTAGTCTGGGAATTAACGTGATTATCCTTGAAAATTGAAAAAGGGCCCATAAACTTTTGCTACTTTATTTCAATGATTTCTTGTCTTACATTGGTAAATATTTTAAATATTGAAGGATTATTTAAAATATTTTAGATTTTATTTTGTTATTTTGACTGAAATAATTTAAAGGTTAAAATAAGATAATAAATTCATGTTTTTAATATGAGTATGCATTTATTTTGTAGCCTTAAGTTATGTGTCACACACACACACACACACACACACACACACACACACACACACACATATATATATATATATATATATATATATATATAAACATACACATAACTCAGCCCTGTCAACAGCGTTTTGTAATTTCTCTCTGGGTAGGCAAAGTAGTATGGGAAAAGTAATTAGGCTAAGTGTCCATTTACCCACTTTCTTAAATGTCAGCCGTCATAATTTGCCAGTAATGAGATATTTCGCCAACATATCAGGCGATAAGACAGAATACAGAGAGAAGTTCAGATAAAGACATTCATACAATTTTGATATAAGCAAATTCCCCTTTTTTTATTCGTAAATTTTACAACTCTTTATCTACCTATATATATATATATATATATATATATATATATATATATATATATATATATATATATATTGGGATGCTGGAAAATTCTAGGTTTGTACCAGAAGCGATTAAGGAATAAAGCATTAATGTTTGATCATTCGGTTAATTTTAGGAAGTGTATCGGTGCGAAAAGTTTCAACACCCAATTGATCTGTGCTCTAGACAATCTTGGCGAGCGTCTGTACTGCGGGACTGTCTGGAACCTGATCGACGGATTTAAGTTTATTTAAACATTGTTAACATCAAAGCAATGAATCACGTTCAATTGACGTTTAATTCACTGAAATAATCATTCATCTCCTCGAAGGCCCGCAATCCGACTCCTTCTAAAACGATACTAAATGAACAAGAAAAGCATATGTGTATCCTCATGGCTTGCAATGGACTCTTTCACCATAATGAACATTATTGTGTCACCGGATAAAGCTCAAATACAGACAATGCATTTGTATGGGCCCAAACTCTGCATTTTGAAATGTCGGAAGAATATAATTCCAAACAATCTTTGGACATTGTAAGGCTTAGTGGTTTTGTGGCAAAGCACGGATAAACCAATGAGATATTACGACCATTCAAATATCAGAGTCGATATATA